CAAAACATGTTATGTAATTTTATCAATTACCATTTGCTACCTAAATCTATAACATTTGGAAAAAACATTAAATCTTTATAAAAACCCATTTCCGCCACTAAATTAAAAAAAAAATTAAGGCAGTTGCAACTTTTTAATCTCACATTTCGGACTTTTTTTTCTTTCTTGCAATTGCAAGTTTACATCCCGAGAAAAACATCCTGAGAAAAAAAATCAGAATTGAATTAATTCAGTGGTGGAAACAAGCTCCCATAAAGATTATACCAAATTAGCACAGAACCAGCTTTGTGTTTCTGCTTGTGACTGCGTTAAGTATCAGCCAAATTTCCACATGCATATTGGACGGTTACAAAAGTGCTGTGGTGAGTTTACAACATTTGTATGTGGAGGTTTTTTTTTTTTTTTTTTTTTTTTTTGCCATCTAGTGGTTAAGAGGAGAATAACATCAAATATGCCTTTTACCCTATAGGCTAGTTCATCTTTAGTCCCGTTGGGTTATTCAAGCAGTAAATTACTTTTATCCTGTAAATATATTTATATTCACTTCATACTCATCATGAACTTGCCAATGAATTGCCTCAGTTTCAGAAGTCTCATCCTGTTGTTTCCTAAACAGTGATGTGAGAAGAATCGGAGTATCTCTGATTGGCCACCAGAGGAGGATAGTGAGCAGCATACAAGCACTACGCCTGCAGTTCCTCCACGTTCAACAGAGTGGCTTCCATGTATGAAAATCCACATATACACATACACATACACATACTCTCATACAAACGCTTCTCCCAGCATTGCTAGACCCCCAAAACACACACACACACACACACACACACACCCTTCAGGTCTGGACTGTCTGTCTGTCATCATGAGACATGCTCCATAGCCTCTGTTTCTATCATAATCCAGCAATCTCAAAGACCATGAAGAAACATGCCCAATGTCATGAATTGTTTGTCTTCTTGATGAACTGTGTGTAACAGGAAAACTGGACCATTTACCCGGAGGAACCACAGTAAACAACGGAACAATGGCACCATTCTGTTGTTACGAAGATGTCATCTGTCAATCATCCTGCAAGTTCTGTGATTGACTGGACTCCAAACCTGAGAACTTTGAATAGCATATTTGCTATTTTAATGTATTAAATTATGTGTCTTAAGAGATTTTCCTGGTTTATTCATCAAGCCTCTGAAATGAGAGACTATGGATCTGTTGAATGTCTTCAGCTTTAAATGGCTATTATACATTGTTTATCACATCTGATATTTATCCTGATATTTATATGTACGTGTGACTTTGTTTCTTTTTTGGTTGCCTTTTGTTTAGTTCCTTTTCTAAGCAATATGTGCAGTCTTTAGAAAACCAAGAAAAGAGCCAAGGTAGGGGGTGGAGAGCTTTATCTTGCTCTGTTGAAAAAAAAAATGCCACACAAAACCATTGACTTCCTCAGGCTGTCAGCGAGGTGGTAAAAGTCTGACCTTTCAGAAGACTGTAAATCATTTTCTTACTCCTGTGCACCACAGTCAAATTGAACAAACTCATCCAAATGAAAGACAAATCCATTCAGACCGAGATTTGAGAACTGCACACATTTGTTCAGTCTACTTTGGTGTACAGATTCTATAGACACTTCTGATATTTTATCAGTTTGCCTTGCGACGTTGCAACTATTGTCATATAGTCAGTGGAGAATATTTGAGGTGAAAGGTTGCAGTAAAATGTTCTCCTATAGAAGACATGACAATATAGCACTCTGCATGTTGGCAAGTATTTTTCCCAACACAGCAGGCCTACATACACGCATATCTTCAATGGCAACATATGCATTTGCAGTCTCTTTCGCTTCCACCAGACATACAAACGCACAATACTGTACCATGTTCAGCTGATCCTTTTGGCTCTTTGTACCTGAACACATGTTCGGGACACTGAGACCACTTGACAAACTTCAATTTGCAATGTGCAAACGTCAAAAGTGCAGGAGAACCGAGTGCTTACTTCAAGAAGGGCAAGGGAAAACTCTGGGCAATCAGGTCATAATGTATTGTTCATAGTAAACTAATTGTACATTATTTTTTATAATTTATAAAGAGTACAGAGAGATAAAGGTGATATAGGTTGAATGTTTGTAAAAATAAATGATAACAGATATTTCTTGTGTTTTTTGTGAGTCTATCACAATCAAAAAATGATTTATTATAATATGGACTGACAAAACGAAATCATGAAGAAGCTACATGCAATTTAGTTGTAACAGTATTTGCAGGTCTTAAGGGAATAGTTCGCCCACAAATGAAAATGTGCTAAAAAATGTCACCCTCACCCTCAGGCAATCCAAGATTTAGATGAGTTTGTTTCTTCATCAGAACAGATATGGAGAAATTTAGCATTACATCACTTGCTCACCAATGGATTCTCTGCAGTGAATGGGTGCCGTCAGAACGAGAGCTGATAAAAACATCATAACAATCCACAAGTTGCAAGTTTGTAATAAACAAGTCCATCACAATGTTTTTAACTTTAATCTGTTGCTTCCAGTTAAAGTCATCTATCCATTTTATTGCTTTCTCTGGTGAAGAAGTTGTTTTGTCTGAATCAGGAGAGAGAGATATGCACAGATCAAGCACCGATTACAAGCAAAAACAGTCCAAAAAGTGGATTTTGATGTGTATATACAATAAATTGAGATTTGATTAATCATCATAAAATGTAATTAATTTGATTTAAAAATGTTAGCTATATTGCTGTAATTACAGACCTTACTGACTTCAACAGTCAAATGTCTAATGAAACCCAGTCATCTATTTTCCCTAACGTCTAGGCATAATGAAAAATGGACCCCAAATAGTGAGTTCACTATAGGGTTATTTTTTTCAAAAATAGGTTATTCTGGCTGGTTATTCTCTCTACATTCCTGCCAGGAACTATATTGTGGGCTGTTACAAAATAGTGATTATCATGAATAAAATGTTTAGCTTGAAATACTATTTTTAAACCATTAATATGTTTATTTTAAATAATAATTATTATTATAATATAGCAGCTTAAACAGTATGGTGTAAAGAATACCACGATAATGGGTTGTGACACAGAGACCAAAGTTGGGTATACATCAATGAAAACTTGTTGTACAACAAGCTTTGCTTCAGTTAACCTGTGTTACAATTCTTTCTGGTCCCATTTATTAATTAATGTAATTGAATTTAATTTTAAAAACTTGACATTTTAATAATAAGGGTTTCTTTAGCCAAACTATTGGCACTTTTGGCCCTGTGGTCGTGTGTAATCATTTTAATATGTTTAATTTGATATGCAGATTTAAATATCACAGAAGAATTGTAATTTTTCTTTTAATTTGCTAGGCTCATTGTTCTGCCTAATTTCACAGCTCTTATTTTCTGTATCCTAAATACACAATTAAATAGGCTATTTTTTTTTTTTACTTAAACATGCTTTTCACTGACACTGCAGGGAAATAAGGCATTTTCGCACTGAATTTGTGAACGTTTAGATCAATAATATTTTAAATTCATAACATCAGATTTTTATCGTTTGAGATTGAATGTCTGGGTATTGGACAAAGGTAAAACAAAATTATAAAGGCATTTTTAGAGGCTTTTTTTCTAATTAAAAGAAAAAAGGCAAACCCTGTGACATTAAAATGCCAAAAGCTGAAGACATTTTTGAAAGCTGCGTTTAAAAAAATTCAGAAATCATGACACTAACTAACCTGCGATTTCTGGAAATCATTTTTTTTTTACGCAAAGCTACACTTCTGACGTTGTCCACATGATGGCGCTCTGTAGTAAAGGCGTCATCGGTCTCCTAGCAGCGGTGTGTGGGAGAGTGTTATAGGGTTTCCAGGACGCCAGGTAAGTGTGTTTGCGTCTCTCCATCTGCACTGGACGTATATGAATGGGACTTATGCATGCGAAATCACATTTAACCAAAACATAGACAACATACAACTTGAGCAGAGCCGGAGCAGAAAAGTAAGAACGATTTTTTTCCATGTAACGTTACAGCAGACTGAAAGAGCAGGTTAGCCAACCAGCTAGCCGTCATGTGCCCACATGATGGCGCTCTGTAGTAAAGGCGTCATCGGTCTCCTAGCAGCGGTGTGTGGGAGAGTGTTCTAGGGTTTCCAGGACGCCAGGTAAGTGTGTTTGCGTCTCTCCATCTGCACTGGACGTATATGAATGGGACTTATGCATGCGAAATCACATTTAACCAAAACATAGACAACATACAACTTGAGCAGAGCCGGAGCAGAAACGTAAGAACGATTTTTTTCCATGTAACGTTACAGCAGACTGAAAGAGCAGGTTAGCCAACCAGCTAGTCGTCATGTGCAACAAACATGAAAGCAGTAACCTTAGCTTAGCAGAAAATGTCAACCGTGTGGATGTGGATGTATTTGAGTGTTTAACAGAACAAGTGGCAGAAACGGAAGTGTTTGGCTTATTTTAGCAGTATGATATCGTGTATGTGAAGTGCTAGCCCGTGTGCTAATGAGCTCAGATGATTACAGGCTGTTCTCGTAGATTACGCTTTTACTAGTGTCCATTCATGTGTTTCTGACCTACGACACTTAAACACGTTATAATGCCGCTATCTCTGCTGTCATTGCATTGATTGATTGATTGATTGATTGATTGATTGATTGATTGATAGATGGATGCATGGATGTGTAAGGCTTTGTATAGGCTACACAACAGGTGGGCGTTTTCTTTAACAGAACAAGTGGCAGAAACGGAAGTGTTTGGCTTATTTTAGCAGTATGATATCGTGTATGTGAAGTGCTAGCCCGTGTGCTAATGAGCTCAGATGATTACAGGCTGTTCTCGTAGATTACGCTTTTACTAGTGTCCATTCATGTGTTTCTGACCTACGACACTTAAACACGTTATAATGCCGCTATCTCTGCTGTCATTGCATTGATTGATTGATTGATAGATGGATGCATGGATGTGTAAGGCTATGTTTGCGACTGAAATATGCTTTTCATATAGGCTACACAACAGGTGGGCGTTTTCTTTAGACCCAAGAGGCATGCAAATACTGCTGCGAGTTTACAGATTCACGTAATATATGCACGTAATTAATTAGGTTCATGTACTACAACCTTTAGTGCATGTTGCAAGCTGTGTGTCTGCTCGCAGCTCAAGTTAATTCACTTAAATCGGATTATTAAAAAAGAAGAGAACAAGCTCATTTTCTTAGCAGACTAGCCACTGATAGCCAACGATGCCCCGTCTCCATCAAATACTAAAAGGTTTCAAATGATAACGTATTTTATTATTAAAACAGTCACATTAGTGTTGTTGTTGTTGTTAAGCAGTTTATAATTGTAAGCCTATACTATATATGAAAACAAATCTAAATGTATTTATGAATATTAAATATGCAAATTCAAAATTAATCAATTAATCAAAAGTAATCAATTAAAATGCAATAAATAATGCATAAAATAATTATATATTACAATAACAACATGGGTGTAAGCAGTCCTTTGCATCTGTGTGTATCAAGGATGCATTAAATAGATTAAAAAGTGACAGTAAAGACATTTTATTATGACGTTACAATGTTTATAATGTGAAAAAATATATTTCAAACCAGTGCTGTGATCTTTTGAACTTTATTCAGAGTTTTCACAGAAATATGCAGCACAACTGTTTTGTGATAATACTATGAATTGTTTCTTAAGCATCACATTAAAACATTAGAATGATTTCTGAAGGATCATCTGACACTGAAGACTGGAGTAATGGCTACTGAAAATTTAGTTTTGTGACCACAGGAATGCATTACATTTCAAATATATTTAAAGCTGCAGTCTGTAAGTTTTGCCTCTTTGTCACCATCTCTGTTTGAAAACCTGCAATTGCAGCTGTGTGTGGAATTATCTTCCTTGCGTGGGTTGTGCGGTGGCACGGCTCCTGCGTGACAGTCTAATCTCTAATTGTCATACCATTCGAATTTCATATTAAGGAATTATTTTAACCCAAAAAGCAAATTATGCTCCCATCGAATTGGTTGTCTTTATAATACAAATCTTGTGTAATCCCAGGCTATCTTTAATCAGAAGCACATTTAAAACTGGAATATAATATAATTGTATTCACATGTGTTTCATAAACACATAATCCTTTCTGGATTACAATCTGATTTCGGATCATTTTTAACCAAAAAAAGTTACGGACTGCAGCTTTAAGTAATAATTATTTTTAATTTTATTATTTTTTACTGTTTTTCTGATTAAATAAATGCAGCCTTGATGAATATGAGACTTTAGCATAGCATAATTGTCTCCCAACTCTTTCAAAAACATTCAAAAATCTTACCAACTTATAACTTTAAGTGTCACAATTAGCTGGAATTCATATTATAATTAAACAAAACAATATTACTTGTAGTAGCAGAAGATAGTATTTTATTTATTTATTTGTTTGTTTGTTTTTAAACAACTGAGAACTCAGCAATTGGTGCCTTGCTGAAAAAAGAGACGTTTCTGTTGTCCCAAATTGTTTGTCAGCCTCTGGATGCATCTAATGAATAATCTAATGGAGCTTGTCTTTGATGCGATCTCTTTCCAGAAGCGTCCCATCCAAATAGGCAAATGGGGCTTTTTGACAAGCTTGCAGGGTGGCTGGGCCTGAAGAAGAAGGATGTGAACGTGCTATGTTTAGGTCTGGACAACAGTGGAAAAACTACCATCATCAACCAGCTAAAGCCATCCAGTGTATGTCTCACTCCTGTCTGTAAACCCGAATATAAAATAGTTTGGTCTTCACCAGTTTTGTTTTTGTATATTCACTTGATTTCTGTTTTGTATGTGAGCTCACAATTGTGATATTGCCTTTGTTCCTTGCAGGCTCAGGCTCAAGACATTGTCCCAACTATAGGTTTCAGCATAGAAAAGTTTAAGACCTCAAGGTGAATATTTGAAAGCGTTAACTATAGATAATGTTATTTAGTCCATAGGTGTCTGAGAACCATTTGTCCTTTCCCAAAATCTTACTAACACAATATCCCTGTCTTCCCCATAGTCTTTCTTTCACAGTGTTTGACATGTCAGGGCAGGGCAGATACAGAAATCTGTGGGAGCACTATTACAAGTGAGTTTCTCTGATATAGACTTATCTGATTATGTTTACTGAGCTAATGGAGTGCCATCGCCTACTTTAGAATCAATCTGTGTTTTTTGTGTTTATCCTTGTTATGTTGTTTTCAGGGAGGGTCAGGCCATCATATTTGTGATTGACAGTGGCGATAAACTAAGAATGGTGGTGGCAAAAGAAGAATTGGATACCCTTTTGAGTCACCCTGGTACATTTTTCAGTAATCTCTGTTTTAGTCATCATTTTCAGTTAGATCTAAATTAAAGGAATAGTTCACCCAGAAATTAAAATTTGCTGAAAATGTACTCACCCACAGGCCTTCCAGGATGTTGATGAGTTTGTTCTTTCATGGAAACAGATCTGGAGAAATTTAGCATTACATCTCTTTCTCACCACTGGATCCTTAGCAGTGAATGGGTGCCGTCAGAATGAGAGTCCAATCAGCTGATAAACACATCACAATAATCCACATGACTCCAGTTCATCAGTTAACATGTTGTGAAGCAGAAAGCTGCATGTTAGTAAGAAACAAACTCATCTACTTCTTGGATGGCCTGAGGAAGAGTACACTTTCAGCAAATCTTCATTTTTGGGTGAATTCTTTTAAAAGCACCCTAATGCTCATATATGTTTTTTTTTTGTTTTGTTTGTTTGTTTGTTTGTTTTTTGGGGGGGGCATGCTTAGATATTAAGCACAGAAGGATACCTATACTCTTTTTCGCCAACAAGATGGACCTCAGGGATGCACTGTCAGCAGTAAAGGTCTCCCAGCTCTTGTGTCTGGAAAACATTAAGGACAAACCATGGCATATCTGGTAAGAAAACTAAATAATTTTTTTGTTAGATTGTGGTCTGCTTACGTTGAAATGATTTGCATAATCAAAACCAAAAAAAAATGTAAAGCACTATTCTGACAGGGTTTGTTTTCTAAACACTGTTTAAGTTATAGTTAATAACTGCACATCTGCAATGCGTTTCATATACTGATTTGGTTGAGATTGGGATCTCAGAAATTATTATTGATGATGGGGAGTTGGAGAGTCTATATATAGACCTTAGTTAGGTTAGACGCCATACTGAATTTAACAGGGATGAAAACTGTTATCTGTTAGGGATAGACTTGCAGTCTTTACAATGGCATGCACTAAAGATCCTAAATCACATAATTTTCACAATTCACAACTTTCAAAACTGATTTATTGAATTTCTTTCTAAAGTCTGTTTGTAAAGATGTGGGCAAAATGGAAGGACTTAAAATAAACAAGGTTTATATAAGTGAAATAATTATAAAGTATGCATATAATTGATTAAAGGGAAGTCTTTAATTATATTACACAATTAAGGGACTCATTATTGATTACATTTTCTTTGTACATTGGATGGGATGTCAGAAGTACATAAACATAAATAATCAAGCTAATGCAGCAAGCAGCACATTAAGAGGTTTAGCTTTAGTTACAGCATTCAACAAATGTCATAATAAATGAGGGAAAGTGTTACATACCGCAGTGACAAGTATTCCTATCCAGACTGAATTAGATTTTTCAGAGGAACCCTGAGCTAGCCAGGGTAGGTAATTTGCTCTTTGATTTTTACAAAGGTTGCGTGCGACATGTTCAATTCAGATGTTAATAACGCAATCACAAAGTACGTCTGTGACAAATTTGTTTAATCTCCTCAGGGTAAACCTGCCCTGTCTGAATAATGCTGAAGAGGTTGTGCATGTGTGTGTGTTTATTTATTTATTTATTTTTATATATATATATATATATATATAGATAGATAGATTGATAGATAGATAGATCGACTGAGTACTGCTTTTTGGACCGAATATATATATATATATTGGAGTCTGTAAAAATATTTAGAAGTTTATTTTGCTCACCAAAGCAGTATTTTCATCTTTGGTCAAAAATACAGTAAAAACTGTATTGTAGTATTGTGAAATATTTTTTTATAATTTAAAATAAATTGTTTTCTGCCTTAATATATTTTAAAATGTAATGCATTCCTGTGACGCAAAGCTGAATTTTCAGCAGTCATTACTTCAGTCTTCAGAGTCACATGATCTTTCAGAAATCCTTATAATAAGCTCATTTGATGCTCAAGAAACATTTCTTATTGAAAACCGTTGTGCTGCTTCATTTTTATTTTTGGTGGAAATTATTATACTTTTTTTGTGGATTCTTTGATGAATAGAGTTTAAAATGTATTTGAAATAAAACATTGTAACAATGTTTACTGGCACTTTTGATCAATTTAATGTGTCCTTGCTGAATAAAACTATTTTTTATTAGAAAAAAAAAAAAATCATACTGACCCCAAATGTTTGAACAGTATTGTGTATATATGTAATACACATACGGTATATTAAATTCATATATTAAATCAATTACAGTGCAAGTGATGCAGTGAAAGGCGAAGGTCTTCAGGAGGGTGTAGACTGGCTGCAAGGTAAATACACGTATTCCATGTTTTGTGCATCTAATTTCCTTTTTGTCTTTGAATTATTAGTTTCTAGAGATGAGCTGAAATTATTTTTAATAAGGGTGCCAAAAAAATGTATAAACTAGATAAACTGTTTGAAATGTTCAATGCCTTTTATATTCTTGTGTTTTATTTCACCCATAGAACAAATTGCACAGTAAGTATTGAAGTTTAAGCTCCCAGATGTGTTGAGATCCTTGGTTAATTGTACAGTTCAATTTAACTGTTGGGCTGTATTTATTCTTGCACCAATTTACACTTCATTTCGGCCTTATAGAAGAAATTCAAAGGCAAATAATCTTTTGATGGTATCTCAAAGATTAGATACAGCCCAAAACTATTTCAGACCCCCTCTCCTTCTTGTTGTTTGAGGTGCATTTGAGTAAGTCAATAACAATTAAATGAAGTCCACAGACATCTGTTCTCCTCTACCCAGTGTTTTAGTTTAGTCCAGTTAATGCAGCAATTTAAGATCTCACCTTTATCTGAAAATGCATCAAAATGTATAATGATTTAAATCCTTGTTCTGTTTTTTTTCCCCCTCCCATTAACAGATCAAATCAGAGCGATGAAAACGTAAAACCCTCCTGAGATATAAAAACAGTCAAGGTCACCAGCTGCAATGGCGGAGATAGACAAAAAAAGATCTTCACCTTTTGTGCTGATGTTAAAATCAATTAGGTTGGTAGTGTAATAAACCATTTGGCTTTGATTATGGCCCTGTTTGCACTGTATATGAACATCTGTCTCAGTTGATCTGATCACAAGTGGTCAGTCAAGACTTTTATTTTTACACATTATTCTGACAGTTGTTTTCTTTTAAATCCACACACAACTAGTGAAGTTTAACCTATTAGCCCAATAATTCATTGACAGATTCCCTGTTGTCCAGGAAGCATAAGAACACATTCGAATTTAAACAAAAAATTCAATTTGGCCATATACATTTCTGACTACTGAGTAAGATCAAAAACATTTCACCACTTTTGATAACCTGAGCTATTATGCTAATACCAGGTGTAAATATGTCTGTGACGATGCATCTAGTATTTGATCATTGCATCTTCTGTCTTGATGAATACATACACTACACTTCTTGGCTGCCAATGCTGTAAAGTAATTCTGTTGAGAAACTCACTGTAACAGGTTTCTCAGACAGCAGAGCACAATGGCTAATACTTTATAGCTTAGCTATGTTGTTGATTGGATAGAAAACATTCCCAAGCAGTGTTTATTCCGTTGCTTTGAAATGTAAAATTGGTCAAAGCTCGTTACTGTAGTGATGTACAGTAGTGCTGTTTATTCAATATTTTGCTATGATTTACTTTTCCATGCATTATATGCATGTTGCCTCTGAACAGTATGAAAATGAAAAATTATGACACCTCAAACCGTCACAAAGGAAATGTTTCTCTTTGTTCTGGAATTATTTATTTTCCATAAACTTTTTGTTTTAAAAACATATGTAAAGGAATTGTTGCTGCATTTTTGTCTTGTGTTTTGACAAAGTACATTTTCACATATTAACTTTTTTTCTAAACAAAACGTTTAGCTGATTTTTAGCAATGTGTTTTTTTTTTCTTGTTGTTTTTATTCATTAATAAGGGATCTTGTAATAGAATGTTTAAAGAATAAACTAAATCTGGGGCTTAGTCCGAGTATGAATGCTATCTCTATACAGTATATGTCTCTCTCTGTATTTTATTTTTTATTTTTTCAATAATCAAATGACCGGTCAATGCCAAAGTGTGGCACACAGCTTCATCCTTCTTTCTCTTTAAATAATCAGTGTGGCCAGAGCTCTTTGAGTCTGAACTGTGTGAAGGACAGCTGTTATGGGGTGGCTGAACCATGGCCGTGATTATAGTTGTGGAAAATCCAATGCACTTGCTCATTAAGACCACAACATCAGCACGGTCATATAGGCTACTGAAAATGGCAGAATCTCATCTAATCATAGTGCCATCTGCCGTTTTTATGGAATCGCACTCATTTTATGTCTTTCCGGCCACTGAAATACTTAGTGGTGCCAAGACTGCACTGTGCTGTCATTGGAGACGTCAACTGGAGCTTCATCTCATTTAATTATGTGTGATGATTTAAGCATTATCAACAGAACACCTGCACAAATACGAGTGTGATATTGCTGTATTTCAGTATATTGAAAGAGTACTTTACATTTTAGACCCAAGTCACTTGGTTACTTCACTTATTTTTCTCCGTCAAAGAAATTAGCTCCAAACAAAACCAAAGCAGGATCTATGCTGCATGACACGTGTTTTGTTTCTGAAAGAAACATCTAAAGGAATGATTCAATAATGTGCTTCTAGCACTAATACTTGTCGCCACCTACTGATATAACCATGTGACCAGAAACAGTCATTGAAAAATCCATACCACTGATGTGCACGCTGACAGTATATTTATTGTGTTATACAATATAAACATAAAATTCTATGTATATCAGAACTCTATATGTTGTAGCGTAAGAAGCTTTTGTGGCAGAATTTATCTGGTATCTGTTGTACCTATTATATTTGTAAAATGCCTCTAAAAGGAATGCAGCACTGTCGCTTTTTGTTTAATAAGTTTGTTGCATGCAGGTTAAATTTCTCTGAGTGGAGGAGAGAATCTTCCTTGCTATAGCAAAGTAATTTTATTTACAAATTAATTCACCCAGACCCATCTCTAACACCATAGCTGCAAAGCAGCCAATTCTAAGTTAATTTAATAGCATTAAAAGGATAAAGTGATTAATTTTCACCCAAAAATAAACATTCTGTCCAGTCATTTTCTCACTGGTATTATTCCGAACCTACGCCTTTCTTTGAAAGAAGATAAGATAAATCTCTCAGTTTTCCTCCTTCCATGCAGGGAAATGCATAGTTAACCTTCTTCAAATTATCCTCTTTTGTGTGTCACAGAAATCAAGCAGATTTGGACCGACTTAAGGGTAAGGAATTGATGACAGAATTTTAATTTATGGGCTGTCCCTTTAATCTTAACAGCAAATGGAAAATATGCAGTATTTCCATCTCCCGTCTGGTGCAAGTGAAGCGGCAGCACTAGAGACAGACTGTGCAGATCCCCGAGAAGAAGTGACAGCAGATATAAAACACAGAGGAGACTCTGAGCTCCGTGTGTCAGATCGTCTCGTTTAGCCAAGCGTAACAGACGTGACGCTGATGCGGGACCCTGTAGCTTCTAAGTGCCCACTGCTTGCCACTTTCCATCTCCCTTTGTAAATAGCGGAGAAAGTTTCTCCGCTGCTCCCCTGAACATAAGTATAGTTTCTTTAACGTCGAACTTTTTTAATGTACGGTAGCCGTATTATACAAGACAACTGAAATTGAACAAACGTTCACATGCAGTTACCGCGTACAAAAAGGGCCGCTGGTTAGTTCCCCCTTCTGCCGCTAGATGGAAGTAACACTCTATCTGTAATTCACTAATGAAAGACAAACAGGTAGGCCTAGTTAAACAGGAGATGAAATGTACACAATATGAATCTTCCTAAAATTATGTTTCTGAAATTATTACGTTTATTTTGTTTTTTTCGCAAATGCATCACCCGAGTTGCATTACGTAGCGCACAGGCCTACCTATTATTAACTAGGTTGTTGTAGGTGTAAATACACGTTTTTAAATTGAATATATTTTGTTTTGTTGTTTGTTATTATTATTGCTAACTGTTTTGTCAAATCTGCTGTTCATTTGTCCATGAAAAAAATGCATGTTCATCTCTCAGTGGCACTTCAAAGAACTCGAAACAGATGTGAAGTGTGCTCATTAGCTGAGCAAAATCTGTGCACCGTGACTGTTCCCATGCACCGAGGGATCTAGAAGAAAACATCAGGATACGACACTTTATTTCAAGTGATTCCAGATAAACACAGGGACGTGCACAGACATTTTGAGGGGCAGGGGCTCAAGTGGAAAAAAGGGCACTTCTCATATTTATTTTAATTTTTTTCTAAACAAAATGTTAAATATATTAGGGGTGTGCGATATTGACAAAAAATATATATCAATATTTTCTGAGATTTTATCGATAACGATAATTAGATTATATTTTGCTGAGTGTGTTTTTGTGCTGATATCTTAAGGACTACCGTGGACAGCTGACTCCTAAAGTTTTTGATATGCTGCATATTCTGTTTGTGATCAGTTCACAGCAGTGATAGAAATTAATCTTTTCCAATAAGTTTACATTGATTTTTTTTTTACCTTTTATGGGCATTTTTACCTTTATAAAGCCCTTTTTTTCTAAAGGTGTGCATCATCTTTTCAGTCACATTCTTAAATTGAATCAGTTAATTAGAATAATAAGTCATTTGGGCTGTTACCAAGCAAATGAAATCAGTATTGACAAAATTAATCTTTGCAATGCA